GGTTGCATTACAACTCTATGAAACCAAGACGTGGGAGGGAAGACAAGCATTACTGGGAAGCGTCGTTGCTGGTTAATAAACATCAATTACTTTCTTGCAGTGATATTTGTATTTTATTTTGGACAACACTACTAATTATTGTAATATAAATTTGACAATAATGTAGAAATCCTACTTTGAGGATTACATAAATCGCAGACTGAATGTGGGCATAGTTGAAACACAAGACTTGGTGAAGGAGCTTCTAGTGGTTGATTATTGTCCATAACAAAAACCAGACTCATAAGTTTGTTACGTTTCTTTGCAACGTATGCCATTCATGTTTCCGTACATTGCACGTGGTCTGTTTTGACATTGTTACTAATGACTTAAATTTTCATAATAGGAATAATTGTGGAATTATAGTATGCTTCATTATGAAGCAACTTGTGCGTCACCTAGATGTTGACAAGTCAATGGGAGGGGAGAGCTGCAGAATAATGCGAACCGGTATGGTGAAGTCATTTGTGAATGACAAGAGAAGGTCATTTGTGGCTGACAATTGACTATCTACTGATGGTGGTATATGGGTGTAGATTTGGTATTTTGGGTATATAATCACATTGTTTTTGCTTTGGAATGGTATTAAAAGCTTGCTGATACAGGAAAAATTGGAAGTTTTAGATGTTTTTCATAGCATTGTGAATATGGATTACTGATTAGTGTATTTTGTTTTGGGAATAGGTAACAATGGTTAATTGATTTTTTTGGGAATGCACTTTATTTTGTTAATATGGCTTTATATGTCATTCAGTAATGTCACACTCCGTAAATGTGAATGTAATTGGTAATGCCACTCATAATGTGAGGTGAATGTGAATGGTAATGCCATAAAACAATGTGGGTTGTTCATTTTTAATACACAGATTGTGTTTGTGAGTGTATGACAGTGTTTAGTACTTGTATTAGGGAGTGTGAAATTGCAAATGTGAAAGTGGTTAAGTGAGGGTGAAGTTGTATGTAAATGTGATGGTGATTGTGACAGCGAATGCGAATGTGAATAACAGAATAGGTTTGGTTGTGTACCTGTAACACCCAAAAAGCAAATGTGAATGTATCACAGTGTTTTGCATTTTTTTGCGAATATGAAATACAAATGTGAATGTGGTTATGTGAATGTGAATGTGAATGGTTTCGCTTATGTGATGGTGAATGTGAAATTGGATGTAATTGTGAATGACATAACAGGTTTGGTTGTATACCTGTTACGCCTGTGACAACCCTCACCACTGATTAGTGCTAATCTATGATTAAGTATGTTAACTGACTGATTGACTAAAATTCTGAACTATTTGATTTAGTGTATTAGTTTAAATGCATTTCTATTTGTTTGTCATTGAATTATCTGTTCATGTTTTAAGTTTCGAACTGTAAATTGAAGGCCTTATCGGCGGTCGAATCTGAAATTGATTAATGTTTTATGCTAATTGGAATTTATGTGATTTTATGGTATATTTAATTGAAATTTGATTTAGAATGATTAAATTAGATTTAATAATGTTAAATTACATAAGTTGGCTTTATTTACCAAAATGCCATGTTAGTGGGCCATCTCATAAAATATTTGAGACTTAATTCATATCTCTTCCTCAGTCATTTTCTTATACACAACCGACTAGAAAGAGAGAGATAGGGAGAGAAATTGAGTTCAACTTGAATTTGAAGACAATTTTTTCTAACCCCAACATATGATATGGAATGCTGGTTATATGGGCAAAAAAGGGGGTGCAAAGGTGGGGAAAAGGAGGGCAACTTTCCCCCACAAAATATCCCCCGGATATTGATATTTTCTGGGGGATAAAGCTCTACAGCTGTAAAGTGAACAGTGCAAGGATCTCGGCCGGCCAGTTACTTTTGCTGCAGGTGGCCGGCCGGCCACACCCCCTAGCCGGCCGGCTAGGGGTCAAAAGGGTCAAGCAGATTTAGTGGCCGGCCACCACATGATGGTGTCCTCCCATGTGTGTACATCACAAATATGTGGTTCAAAGTTCAGGATGTGGGTCCAAGGGGTTCAACATTAGCCCGGAAAGAGGGGTTCAAAAGGGTCAAATGGAATTACTGGCCGGCCACCATTTTTTAGGGTCCTCCCATGTGTGTACATCACAAATATGTGGTTCAAACTTCAAGAATGTGGGTCCAAAGGGTTCAACATTAGCCCGGAAAGAGGGATTCAAAAGGGTCAAATTGAATTACTGGCCGGCCACCATTTTTTAGGGTCCTCCCAAGTGTGTACATCACAAATATGTGGTTGAAAGTTCAAGAAGATGGCCCCAAGGTGTTCAACATTAGCCCGGAAGTGTGAAAAACAGGCGCCGGAGGGCGTCGGAGGATGTATAACTGGTTGCTGCAACAATTACTGGCCTTTCACCCTTCAGTGACCTCCCCGGTGATAAAACAGAGGTACCTGCCAAAAATGAACGAAAATCGTTGCAAAACGAATGTTCGGGGACCAAAACTCGCAGTTCGAGGTCCCGAAAATGGGCTGTTAAGCACCGAAAGTGGCATTCGGCCACGAAGTGGGTTTCTCAGACCCCAGTGTCCCTCAAAAGGGATTAAATAGGAAGTATGCCAAAAATCAAAGCAAACGGAGATGGTTAGGCGGTCCCGAACCGAGGCACACGGCCAACGATCCCGAAAAACCGGAAACCGGACTCCGAAATGGGAAAAATGGCCTACGGCCACCAAATGTAGCCCACGGACATTGAGAGATGGTCTACGGGACCTCTCCCTCCCCTCAGGAAAAGAAACAAAGAAAACCGAGCCTGGTTCGCAAACCGAGGCAAATCACAAAAAAGGGTTCGGAAGTCCGGAGGCAGGGCTCACGGCCGCAACTCTGAAACTTCTGAACGAGCACATTATGCAACATCACCAAGCGCTCAATCAGTGACGTCTAAGTCTTAAGGTCGGTCAAAAATGGGGTGTCTACACCAGTACTTTGCATGTGTTTACACTCCGCTCAAGCGAGAGAGTTCACACTCGAGCGAGGACTTGTGTCTCACGCTCGAGCGTGGATCGAGCACCCGTTGAGCATGATTTTTGTGCACCCAGTATTTTTACTGTAGCTTACAGTCCGCTCGAGCGACGGAATTCACGCTCGAGCAGAGCTCCTTTGTCTACATGTCCACTCGAGCGTAGAAATCCACGCTCGAGCGAGACCCTTGTTTTCTGAAAAATTCTGAAAAGTGTTTTAAAGTGCATCTTTGCATCCTCATTCCATCATAGGCACTCCTAGGCCTTGTTTAAGGCATCTTAATGAGGATATTGATGTAGAACCACACCGAGGCAAATTAGAGATTAAGTTATTATTTCCCGATTGTGTAGCTTAGTGTGTGTTCGTTCTGTAACTGTGTAGGGTTGGCATCCGAGGACGCGTACTAGCTTATCTATAGCCCAGAACTCTGTGAGTAACAATGTTGTAAAGATATGTTCAATTGAGATTTTTTTCTGAACAAATGACTGTACTGCTTTATGAAATGACATTGTTTACTGAATGAATGTTTGTCCTATTTGTGAACTGTATTCGTGGCATCCATAGCAATTTACTGTTACTGAACTGTTACTGCTACTGTTACAGAGATCTCTGTCGGTTCCCACGTTTGGAACCACGACTGTTTACTGATATGATGGCCATCATTGACTGCTCGGTCTGTTAAGACCTAATGTACTGTTTTGCTATTGGATGTACCACATATGCCTATTATAGTTTCTGAATGACTGTTATGGCATGAATTATGAGCCACAAACTGAATGACTGATATACTGATAAATGACTGTTTTCAATACTTTTACAATTTGAGCTTTGAATCATGTTATACTATACATTTCCAAGTGTTTTCCAAAAAATTAGCCCAAGAGGATCGAATTTGATACATTTAAAGTTGTTTTTGAGCTTGAGGTTCAAATCTAGAAATTCAAGATTTTGGACTCACGCTCGAGCGAGGAACTCCACGCTCGAGCATACCTACTGAATTCATGCAGTCCACTCGAGCGGGGAAAGTGACGCTCGAGCGTGAAATGCGTGTATCCAGTACTTTGCATGTGTTTACACTCCGCTCAAGCGAGAGAGTTCACACTCGAGCGAGGACTTGTGTCTCACGCTCGAGCGTGGATCGAGCACCCGTTGAGCATGATTTTTGTGCACCCAGTATTTTTACTGTAGCTTACAGTCCGCTCGAGCGACGGAATTCACGCTCGAGCAGAGCTCCTTTGTCTACATGTCCACTCGAGCGTAGAAATCCACGCTCGAGCGAGACCCTTGTTTTCTGAAAAATTCTGAAAAGTGTTTTAAAGTGCATCTTTGCATCCTCATTCCATCATTGCACTATTTTTGCGAATGTGAAATACAGATGTGAATGTGGTTGTGTGAATGTGAATTATTATGTTTATATGATAATGAATGTGAAATAGGATGTGATTGTGTTTGTTAGAACAGGTTTTGTTGTCTACACTTAATAGCAAGATTGTGCTGCCGAATGTGTAACAGTTTTGTGCACTTTTCTTACTAAGTGGAAAAAAAGGAATGTAAATGTGTTTGTGCAAATGATATTGCCAAATTTAATGTGATAAGGAATCTTGGTTGGCTTTGCAATTTAATATGTCAAGAATTTGCTGTAATTTAACATTGACTAACTGGTTGCACGAGAACCTGTCAGACGGAGACAATAACAACACCACCTATGTTACAAAATAAATGTCTTCTCACATACAAGGCCAGCGTGCAACACATTTTGTCTAACGTATTTTGCAGGTCTAAAACATACGTTTGCATGATCAAATAAATAAACATGTAACAGCAACATATGAATGAGATAGTGTGAAAGAAAAAATAGTTGAATGATCAATTGTAAACAGTGTCTTCACTTATTAAAATCTTCCATCAATTGGCTTCGATACATGCTACTACGATAATACGATGCTGCTGTTCAAAACAGATTACAAAAGTGAATGCTAAATGCCTATTACTAAATTGGTTCTTTACATGTCTTCCGGTTGTGGCTGCCCATGCGGCCACATCGACCGCACCTAATCTGATTTAGTTTCTCTCCCCGAGATGGTATTCGATTCTTCTTGGGTCGCCCTGGAGGACGTTTAACTGCCGGTGAATATATGATGAAGTCGTCTTCCGAAAAGGAGGGTTTGTCAACTGTTGGTATTGGCTGAATGTATCTAGAATAAGCGACTTTATACTGATCAACAGTGAAAAATTGTTCAACGAATGTACTGAAATCCCTTCCACTACTCTGTATTGCAACCACCGCATGTGCACATGGGAATCCGTTCAATTGCCACTGGAAGCAAAAACATGAACGCTTGCCAACGTCTACCAACATCGTTGGAAATGAATGGACCTCATATATGCCTTCATTTGATTGGCTAACAATCAATGTGCAACCATTGGAGTACGCCTCCCTAACACGGCTTTCCATTTTCGGACAAAGTAACCCATTCCAATTAGTAGCCAAAACTTTACGCTCAGCCCTTATAGTCATTATTTGATTTCTGATTGTATCAACCAACCTTGTGATTGGATAATTACGGGCATCAAGTATCCATTTATTAAATGATTCTGCAGCGTTCGAGGTCATCTCCCCATATCGTTTGCCCCTGTTCACATTATGAAAACATAATGAAAATGCTATCACATATTGGGTACTTGCAATGTTAGCACATGTAAGTCTCGTACGAACCTGAAATATGCATTGGCCCAATGCTTCGGTGGCATATCTTCCAAGAAATTATTTATTCCAGATCGTCCTGTTCCTATTGGCTTCTTCCAATGCTGCTGAAATGAAGCCTCGGTTGGAGCATACGCACATTTACGCAACTTCGCCATTAAACCAAAGCGTACACGATTGTTAACCCATCGTAATTTGTCCCTCAAATTTGCTTGGAGATGTTGTAAGCAGTACGCATGGTGTGTAGATAAGAATACAGTAGACAAGGATTCAAGTAGCCCAATATTACGGTCGGATACGAAAGTTAATGTGCGAGCACTACTAACAACCTTTGTCAGTTGCTGTAAAAACCAAGTCCAATTTGCAGTTGTTTCAGAGTCAACAATAGCAAAAGCTAATGGGAATAAACCTGGCAGATTCAACAGGTTTACCATTAGATGAAATATTTTTAACAAAGTTTACGTCCACATTAATAATTGTTCACAATTCGAATCGCACCACACACAATGTTAGTAAAATAACATTAAATTGGAAACAATCTTGCAATTGGGGATCACCCACTATTGTAGTGGACTTAAAAAAAAAAGGTTAGCCACAATGTAATGCGTTACTATATGGAAGTATAAAGTAATCATCGTAAGAGACATACCTTTGTTGCCATCCTTCCCTGTTGCTGCAAGCAAATTGCTTTTAAATCTCCCTTTTAAAAAAGTGCCGTCAAGAAACAATAATAGGCAGATATGGTTGAATCCGTCAATGCAAGCTTTGAATGAAATGAAGAACCGCTTAAATCGGCCGGTAGACTGCTCAAAATCCAAGTTGACATAACTCTCAGGGTTGTAATGTATAACCGCATCCGCGTACCACCTAAGTTGATCAAATGAAGCATGATAGTCACCATACACTTCGCCTCTTGCCTTCTGCACACCTAACCATGCTACGTGGTAACTAACATTAAGGTCGTACTCCTTTTTTAGCTCAAACACGACGTCAGTGGGACGTGTAAGCGGCTTATCACGTAACCGATCATCAATAACATTGCAAACCAATTCAGAGTTAAGTTTGTTATTCTTCCCAGTGCGAACAACAGCACCACAACTATTCAAGTTGTTCAACCTCTTCAAGTAAAAATAAACATTGCATGTTTGAACCCTTCCATGTACCAACCACGAACAACCTTTTTGCTCTCGCAGTGTGCACACTGCCGTAACCCGAACTGAGTCATTTTTAACAAATTTAAAGTCAAACCCACACTCAATAACATATTTAGACAAAACCAAACGGAAAGAAGCAACACCCCCTTCGAAACATTGGCCTACATGACTAATGCCATGTGACCAATCAACTGTCATCAACATTTTCTCACTATGGTGACAATAATTGGCTAACAAATCTACGCTAGGTTGGGGACCTGTAAATGGTTCACTATGAGGATCCAGATGATTTGCAGACATAGTCTCATTGAATTGAGTACCTCGATTCAAATGATCCACCTTATTTTCCGAGTCAATCGCAACATTGATATGGGTAACGCCAATGGACCTTGCAATGGAAAACATGTTTTCCATGTCTACATCATTACACAACATCACTTGATTCTCGTGACACGGTAATTTGTAAGATATTGAAATCGATGATGGTGTCACATTCACCCACCTATCACATAAATTTTGTATCAATCGTTTTAATGTCAATCCATTAACACCCTTGACAGCAACCGTGGATGAACTGAAGGTGCAAAAAAGCATGATGTCTATATCCTGCACAACAAAATGAATGAAACATTAACCGCGACATACATTCTACAAAAAACAATCACAAAACAATTACAACGTGGCCTAACCACATTCAATCACAATCAATCACATTCAATTTTATATCTGAACAATGACAACCCAAATTAAATAACATACAAAGAGAAGTTAGATTAACATTAATATACATTCCAATAAATTCCATCAACCGATACAATTATCACATTCAATTGTAAAAAATAGAAACCAAAGACTTTGCGAAACAAAATGTGACACATATGTCCACAGTAAATACAAGAATCAGACAACACAATACAAAAACCAAGTACTTCTCCATGTGTATGTGAGCTACATTCACATACATTCCAATAGTATCCATAGACAAGCAAATATGACATTGAGAAGGAAAAAAATGAAGCCCAATAATTTTGTGATTCGTAACGTGACACATATGTTTTGAAAAAGTAGCACAACTGCAAAACACAAACTAAATACAAACGAATGTAACATAGACCATCACCACATAACAGCCTTCGAGTCTACAGAATTGCGCCAATGTAAGGCTGTACCATTTCGTAGAACCCAGCAACATTCTCACATTCTCAATTTCTAATTTAATAAGCTATCGTAAAATACTATTACGAAACGTAATGTGACATGTATGTGAACATTATAACACAATATCATTACCACGAAAGTTGATGCAAGATTACCATAACAAAGTCTACCAATGGATTGCTATGACAGATTGCGAAATCCATACGATATATGAGGACATTGAGAACAAAACATTCGAAAAAAAACCAGATCAACACTCACCAATTGAATAAGCAGACAACTTGATCTCCTTCCCTCAAACAATCTGACTCCAAAGCAGTAAGATGAAACAACCAAACCAGAGCAACACTCACCAATTGAAAACCTAACAGACTCCACGATCATGGCGCATATCACGGCACCAAACACTTACGGAAAGAAAACGGTTAAAACATTGCAACCTGTATCAAGGGTATAATAGTAAACTAATTCTATTAAAACACAATAGATAGGACTTAATGGAATACTTTCTAATTTAAATAGGACTTCAAACTCAATAAGAAATTTCATAGGACTTAACATAGTATAAGTCTCCCTAATAGGACTTATAAATAATTTTCCCTATTAATTTTATATATTAATAATATCTATAGTATTACTCATCCGGTGATATACAAACAAACACTCTTTATCCTACATCTCCAACCTAATACTACAACACTAATAAACTCTTCACTTAATCTTACCGTACTCTTAATCCACTCCATCCTATGGAGCCAAACAAACGAGAGTCTCGTAGGTTATGTTTGTTTCGCGGCTTGAGTGGCCGGATTGGACTATCATGCCTGTGGGTTTCATCCACAGCATGTTTGGTAGTGAAATGAGAGGATGGATTGATAGTTCAATGGGCTTAGTGATTCCCCTCAATAGGGGAATTAGCTTGGCTGAGTTTTGAGTGGGATTAGAAAAATTATGAGGGAATTGAGTCTATTTTATATAAATTTTATTTTTTACCAAGTGCACTTGTTTGTTTTAATATTTGCTAGGCCTTATTTGTTATAACCTAAAAAAGTTAAAAAGTCAAAAAGTCACTATCTTATTTAAGTCACATCATCTTATTTAAGTCACATCACCTCTCTACCATATTACTTCAAACTCAACCCATATCCAACCCATATTTCATAAAAAGTAAAAAAGTGCACTTATTTAGACTATCCCAAACAACTTTTTTTTAATATAAAAATAATTATTTATTTATTTTATATAAAATAATTTAACAATCTCATCACTAACCATCTCCCATATTATCATCAAAACAAACACACCTTTACTTAATTCCCTTACTAACAATCCCCACGTTAACAATCTATTCACTAACCATCATCTCACTAGTAATCTCATCCAATCTAATCCGCCAAACAAACGTGGTCTTAAGGCCATGTTTATTATCTCGCAAAAGTGGTGGGATTGAACTAATAGAGAGGTTAGAAATTTGTGAGTGGCAATCTCATTGCACAGTCGGATTAAGAAAGCTTGAGAGGGTAAGGAATTGGAAAAATAGTGCGTAGATCGGAAAAATAAGTGTATTCCTTTTTCTTATTTTTTTTTACCCAAGTACAACCTATTATTTGTAAAAAAAATTTATATATTTGTTTTAGAATTTTTTTAATATAGAAATATATATTTTTATTTTATATAAAAATAATTTAACAATTCCATTACTAACCATTTTTCTCACTATCATCAAAACAAACATGTTTTTACATAATCTCCTCACTAACAATCCCACTTTAACAATTTCTTTATTAACAATCTCCTCAAATCTAATTCGCCAAGCAAACGTGAAGTATCTCTAATATTAAATTATTAAAATACAAAGTTAGAGCTTGTTTGGCATAAAGAATGATGTAGGCCGAAAGGTACCACGTTAAGATCACTTAAGTTACATTTTTAGTCTTTCAATATTGTTTATTTGGTAGAGATGATGTGTTTTGTGCACTTGTACAGATTTGGCAGGTAACACACAAATTCAATCAAAAAGGGCGCAAAATCAGATTCTCCGTGCGAGGAACGAAAAAGCCTGGCCTGCCACCTCACCGCAAGTGTAGCCCATCACCGCTGGAGTGGCCCACCTAGGGTTGCGTGCGTGAAATTTTCAGTCTATTCTGTTGGGAAAAAAAGGAAGGAAAATGGGTTATAAAAGAGTTCGAAAATTATTCTAAGGAAAGGGAGGCTAGGGTTTTGAAAAGGTGATTATTCTCAGACTTCAAAGGAAACTTTCATAGGGGCTTCCACATCTTCCATCTCTTCCACCTCCTTCATGAGTGGCTAGGCTCTTCTTTTCTAGGATTTTGATAAAACCCTGGCTACGTAATTAGGTTTTCTTTTTGGTTTTTGATTATGTAAATGTTTGAACAATTGTATGGTGTTTTAGAAGTTTCAAATATATATGTTTTCACTATTTCTTTGAGTATTTGGCTTTTTGTCATTGTTGAATGCTTTCTATACAATAGTTTTCTTTTCTTTTCTTTTTAATATTCAAAGTATGAGACGGGTCATACTATGAGGGATGAGTCATTTTGCTACCCTAGTTTAGAGCGAACGACTCGTACTACTTGAGATGGTTCGTGCCTATACATTGAACGTGATAACTCTATTGATAAATGCTTCGAACTTGTAGTTATGAAGTATTATTTAGTTCGAACCATAGCATAATTGATTTCAAATTAAAACCTTATTTACGTAACTAGTGTTGAACTCATTGCTCTAGGTTTTTTCCCAAATCAGTAAATTCATCTTTATTTATAATTGCTAGTTTATTCTCTTAATTTAATTTAATTATTATTAGGTTATGAAAAATCAATCTTTTTATCAAAATTGATTTAAGAATTTAACAATTAAATTAGTTTAATTTCCTGTTTGTCCCTGTGGATCGATACTTGGACTTACCATTATTCTAAAAGAATTTGGTATAATTTAGTGTTTATTTTTGGTGCGTGAAACGACCCATCAAATTTTGGTGCCGTTGCCGGTGACTTTTGACGAAATTAGTTAATTTAAAGTTACATTCTTATTTTAATTTTTATTTTAGGATTTTATATTTTAGTGTTGCTAAGTGTGCAGAGTGTTTGCAATTAAAGTCATCACCGAAGTGCGAGCGGAGCGCAACCGAGCTTTAAAAACAAACCGTAGCACCAAAGTGCTTTAAAAAAATAATACAAAGCAAATACTCGCAAGCAAAGCACCAAAGTGTTACAACTAGAGAGCTCAAGTGAAAATTGGGGATAACGTCTACACGTCAAGCACCCGTAAGACGAGTAAAGCGTTTTCGCTAAATCGCTGTGAGTATTCTCTTCTTTGGTATTTTGCTTTAATAACTTAATGCACAAAGTCAGAACTTAGTGAGTGTGTGTGTGTGTGAGTAGTGTATGCACGGGCACCGTTCTTGTCGCCTTGAATCGTGGAATTTGGACCTTGAACTAGAAAGGACTCTTAGGAAACTTAGAGCCTCTTCCCGTGTTCCTAAGCTTGAATACCCTTATCCATACTTCAAACCAATAGAGATGGAAAACCCGAATGGCCTAAATGGGCCCAACTAGATCTTTAAGGATTACTTCACACCCACTGTATATACATCACCATCATGCATCCAGTTACTCGACATCACTGTTGCTCATTATGAGATTAAGTCCAGCACCATCCAAATGCTTTCATTCTTCCATAGACTAGCTCATGATGATCCTTACAAACATCTGAATGAATTTCTGAAAATTTGCTCAATAGTGAGGATCTAGAATTTCACCAATGAGGCCCTAATGTTGCGTTTGTTTCCATTTTCATTAAAGGACAAAGCCAAACACTGGTTGAACTCCTTACTTGCTAATTCAATCACAAATTAGGACTAATTACAACAGAAGTTTTTGGAGAAGTTTTTGGAAAAGTATTTTCCCATTAGTAAGACTAACCAACTCAGGCGAGCCATTACCAATTTTGCTCAAATTGATGCGGCCCAATTTCGTGAGACATGGGAGAGACTTTGTGACTTTCTCCAATAATGTCCCCACCACCAAGTGCCTGATTGGCAACTTGTGTAGACCTTTTACTATGGCTTAATTGAGCCTCACCACCAAATGGTGAATTCTTCTTGTGGTGGGACATTCATCTCTAAAAATGACGCCGAGGCATGGTAATTATTTGAGAACTTAAGTGATAATTCCCTTCACTATGCCTCCGTAGCCCGGCAAGTCTGGTAACCAGTAGTTGGAGCCCTGAAAAGAGTGGGCATTTATGAGGTAGGGCAAAACCTAGAGTTGGCCTAACAAGTAGAGGCATTGTCCCAAAAAATGGACCAATTATTAGCTGCGAGACATGTCCCTACACATGAAGATCAGCCTCAATTTCACGAGACATGTGCTATATGTGCGAGTCCTGCTCATGACTTGAGTGAGTGCCCTTCGGTATCACAATTCCCAGAATTAGTCCAAGAGCATGTGAATGTGGCTCAAGATTTCTCCAACCCGGGTAATAACCCATATTCTAACACATACAATCCAGGATGGATGAACCACCCTAACTTTTCATGGAGACTTCCTTCACAAAGCACATCTTACAACCCTTCACCACCAAGGTAGAATTTTAATAATTTTGCCAACTAATCTTACCGACCATCGCAACCTTACCGACAACCACAACCACAACCCCCATTTGTTTCTCAAGGCAACTCTACCTTTGAGACTCAGGTGTTGGAAATTCTTTCAGAACTTAAGGGGTTGGCACTAGTAGTTTACTCTCATACTTACTTTATTGCCAAGCTAGAGACCCAATTTGGTCAAATGGATAATAACATGAATAGGAGAAAAGAAGGCAAATTACATAGTCAGACTGTGGCCAACCTTAAGGGTCAATATGGGATAGAAGGGTCAGGTGGGAATGGAAAGCACCATGAGCAAGTGCAAGCGGTGATTACCTTGAGAAATTGGAGGGAGTTAGAGCCTCGACTAGTTGCGTCTGCTGCAAGTAGGGCTAAAAGCGTGACCATGGTGGTACACCCAATGAGAGCAAGGGTGAGAGAGAAACACCTAAGCTGGATGACTTAGTCTTTAGCACTTCACATGACCCTAAGGCACCATTTCCCCAATGCCTTGATATACCGTCCCATTTTAATAAGAAGACGACATCCATGGAAGCGATGATAGAGGTTTTTAAACCAGTTAAAATCAACCTCCCCTTGTTGGAGGTGATTAAGTAAGTACCCTCGTATGCTAAATTTTTGAAGGACCTTTGTACGCAAAAGCATAAATCTGGGACATACGTGTCCTAAAAGGTTGCACTCACGGATCAAGTAAGCTCCATCCTGTTGAGTGACACACCTCCCAAGCTTAAAGACTCGGGTGCCCTAACCATTA